AGAAAAGGATTTTACCTTGTTTACACCAAAATCCTATTTTTCAGTCACATTCAGTTTGACCTAAAACCCCTCTTCTGGCATTATTTAAAAATAAAGCATCATCTTTGTAAACTCATACACTGAACTGGACCTCCAGCCAAACCTTGTTATATTGGTCTTGGACCGAGTGGGCAAGGGTCCCTGGGAAAAGATAGAAAATGTGTTTCGTCTGGAGTTCCACTGTAATGTGCAGTTGACCTAACTCTCCGCTTCCCTGTCTCTGCAGGTGAGTGTATGAACTCAGTGTTCTCTCTCAGGGTCGGGGCTCTGATCATTGTTGGCATTGTGAGTATTTCTCCATTAAGGTTGCAGAGTTCTGTATCGTGTCAGCCGTTGCTGGAGGCAGAAATATTGAAGCTGAAATGATTTCGTGTGTCGGGTAAACTATGAGACGAGGCAGTAGCTCTTCTTTCGTGGTTTCTTCTAGTTACTGGTCCGTGATCTCTCGGAAACCTTTCATAAAACATCGGGGAATGACTTTCATGGCATTAGAACATCTGATTCTGCCACGAGAAAGGAGGTCAGATGGGGTGGCACGGTTCACTATCGGAGGCTTGCAGCTTATTTTAACTTCTCTTCGTCAACTAGATGTTTAGTACCTATTGCTTGATTGAAAACAATGCGGCATACACTGGAATACCTACTGAGGCATCGGTCTGCCCTGCTGGTGGTCGCCATCTAGACTTCTACAGTGGGTTTAGCACCGGTGAAAACCAGTATGGAGTGAGACAACCTAGACCAGCCCTTTCCAGCCTATTTTATGACGGAGGAACCCTTAAAATAATTTATAGGTCTCGGGGAACCCCTGCTAAAAATTATATCTACAGCTAATATTGTTATGATCAGTATCAGTATCATATTAGTATGATCAGTAAGTAGGAGCTATAATAATAAAGGAATACAGAATGGTGGCACTCTTTACATTGGTGGTCATTGGAAAAGTGCTTCTATACATGGGTGGTCCAAAAAAAAAAGTGCCCCCTTACATTGGAAATCAGAGAAAAAGGTTTCCCTCCTACACTGGTGGTCAGTAAGGGTGGCTCCCCCTATGTTGGTGGTCAGTAAGAGAGGCTCCTCCTTATACTGGTGGTCAAATAAGGGTGGCTCCCCCTATGTTGGTGGTCAGTAAGCCCTCGTTCACACCTGAACGTTTTGTAGCGCGTTCTACGCTGGACGAACGCTCTACAAAACGCTCAAAAATCTAAATCCCATTGTATTCAATGGTCTCGTTCCCACCTTGGCGTATTTCCGCCCGTCCCTAACGCGCTACAAAACGGCCCACGCCTGAAAAGGTACATGTACTACTTTGGGCTGTTTTGTTGCGCGTTTCCATTGGGATACAGCCAAGTAGCCTTCGGAAACGCGCGTTTGTCGCGCTACTTTTTTACCGCGATAAAAAAACGCGCGACGGTCGCGCATATGCAATACGCCTAGGTGTGAACGAGACCTAAGAGAGGCTCCTCTTTATACTGGTGGTCAATAAGGGTGGCTCCCCCTATGTTGGTGGTCAGTAAGAGAGGCTCCTCCTTATACTGGTGGTCAGTAAGAGAGGCTCCTCCTTATACTGGTGGTCAGTAAGATTGTAGTTTTGGCACAGCTGGAGTGCCAAGGTTCGCCACCACTGCCCTAGAGTTTACTTTGTTGTATCTTGATTTGTGAGCTCTGTGGGTTGGGTGCTATGTTGCCTAACCCTCATTTCAATGGGCCAATGGTCTCAGATCCAACTGATCCTGTGTCCCTTGATAAACGATTAAAACCATTTTTTCTACTTGCCTTAAAATTATTTTCTTGGAGTTCATGAAGGCACACGGGTCCCACCCGATTTGTTTATGATCTCCACTTAAAACTGCTTAAACTGAAGGGTCTTAGGGGGTAGAAGGGGTTATACTTGCCCGGCCGACAGCTTCTTTTTTTTTTGGTTGGCCATTGTCCAGTTCCGCCTCAAGGCAACGGCATAACCCCACTGGTCTCGGATCCACCTGCTCCGGTGCTCTATAATAAACCTCAAGAAAAGGATTTTACCTTGTTTACACCAAAATCCTATTTTTCAGTCACATTCAGTTTGACCTAAAACCCCTCTTCTGGCATTATTTAAAAATAAAGCATCATCTTTGTAAACTCATACACTGAACTGGACCTCCAGCCAAACCTTGTTATATTGGTCTTGGACCGAGTGGGCAAGGGTCCCTGGGAAAAGATAGAAAATGTGTTTCGTCTGGAGTTCCACTGTAATGTGCAGTTGACCTAACTCTCCGCTTCCCTGTCTCTGCAGGTGAGTGTATGAACTCAGTGTTCTCTCTCAGGGTCGGGGCTCTGATCATTGTTGGCATTGTGAGTATTTCTCCATTAAGGTTGCAGAGTTCTGTATCGTGTCAGCCGTTGCTGGAGGCAGAAATATTGAAGCTGAAATGATTTCGTGTGTCGGGTAAACTATGAGACGAGGCAGTAGCTCTTCTTTCGTGGTTTCTTCTAGTTACTGGTCCGTGATCTCTCGGAAACCTTTCATAAAACATCGGGGAATGACTTTCATGGCATTAGAACATCTGATTCTGCCACGAGAAAGGAGGTCAGATGGGGTGGCACGGTTCACTATCGGAGGCTTGCAGCTTATTTTAACTTCTCTTCGTCAACTAGATGTTTAGTACCTATTGCTTGATTGAAAACAATGCGGCATACACTGGAATACCTACTGAGGCATCGGTCTGCCCTGCTGGTGGTCGCCATCTAGACTTCTACAGTGGGTTTAGCACCGGTGAAAACCAGTATGGAGTGAGACAACCTAGACCAGCCCTTTCCAGCCTATTTTATGACGGAGGAACCCTTAAAATAATTTATAGGTCTCGGGGAACCCCTGCTAAAAATTATATCTACAGCTAATATTGTTATGATCAGTATCAGTATCATATTAGTATGATCAGTAAGTAGGAGATATAATAATAAAGGAATACAGAATGGTGGCACTCTTTACATTGGTGGTCATTGGAAAAGTGCTTCTATACATGGGTGGTCCAAAAAAAAAAGTGCCCCCTTACATTGGAAATCAGAGAAAAAGGTTTCCCTCCTACACTGGTGGACAGTAAGCGTGGGTCCTC